GGGCATTTCCTGTCCTGGACCCAAATGATTTCTTTGGTGTCCAATCTGTCTTCACATTAGATCCCTAAGTGTACCATGTAGGAGCACGTATCATTTCTTGGAGCTCACAATGCTTGGTTTCCTGGTACCAGTTGGGGTTGGCCCCGTCTAGTCCTTTGATCAGTATCAAAAAATTACAGCTGCCTTTGTAATAATGAAATGCAGTCAGAAATATCAAAAAGGTTCCAAATGCCCAGTAAGATGTCTTTCTGACCCTCCTTCTCTCTGTGAGCCAGTAACAGGGTGTACCGGGACAATGGAACTGACCAACCTTTCTCTGTTAAGCTCTACATAAGGAGTCCATTTCTAAGAAAACGTGCATTATATATTTTGTTATCTTCCCCCCCAAAAAAACCCCCAATACAGAAGCATCACACCCATAAGGCTGAATAGACAGGTCTAAGCCAGCCTCTCCCCCATCATCTTGATTTCTGCCTGGTCACTTGAATTCTCACCAACAGAATCTTAAAGGCATTTCCATTTGGTTCCCTGGTACGACTGGACAGACAGCACCATGAAGGCAAACATCTCTAGCCACTATCCCCTAAGGCCAACAATGGTGATTTTTTTTTTAAATTGCATCTAATTCTTTAGGGAGGTGAGATACACCAGGGCCTTCAGTTCGAGGTCAGAGTCGAGGTTTTCAGGGCTTAGATTTGGGGGCTAGAAAGGTATACAGGATAATACTCCAATGGCTGTTACTGGCTTTGGTCACGTCTGGTCCACTCTGTCCTCCTGCATCCTCTGGTGGAATTCTTTCACAATGATTCTCCAGGGTAGACATAATGAACCTCTGTTGATCTATTCTGAAGATCCAATTTGAGCGTACTGGGTTTGTTTTTACAGTGGGGGTGCACGTGTGACCTCTCCCAGATGAAGATACCAGACGCCCAAATACTGCTCTGCAGAGAGAGTCTGACTGGCCGAGGGGGCGTTTCTCCCCCTGCCCTAGCATGGTGATCACCCCTGGGGAACATGCTCAGGCCCTGACTGCTCTTTCCTGGAGTGCTAAGTGGTGCAGACGTTTTTCAAATTCAAGTTAGTAAACGGTAATTCTGTAATATCCTCTGAGATACTCGGAGGGCCAGGTATTTCCTGGACAGGGAAATGCCCTCTTTAAGGGACAGAGGAGCAGCCCTTGGGTCAGTCATGCACAGGGTGTCCACTCCGCATGGGGTCTGCTGTAGAGAGGATGAGGGAGCAAGGTGATAGGAGCGAGGCCAATGGGACACAAGACAGGAAGGCTGCTGAAGCTCGAGAACACCTACCGCTGCACGGACCTGGTCCCCACAACCCCTCAGGCTCTGCGGGGACAGGGACTAGGAGGGAAGTCGGTTAAATAGTGTTATTTCCAGACCTGGGTGCATGAACCGGCAAATGGGCCGCACAAACATGGAATCGCTGAACATTAGAGATGGGGGGGGCCTCAGACGAGCCCAGCTGTGAGCATCACTGTCCTTTGCCCCAAACTCTCCCAAACAGGCCAGATCTGCAACCCAAAGACCCTCCATCTAACCCTTGAGGAGGGTTCTCTTAAGTCTATCGTAGGGCACAGCTTCTATAACCACTAAAACCTGCTGACATTTTCTTGTGCATTGCGCCTGATTAAATAATAATAATGGGTATGGTCTGTTTGGGTTTGGCCCTTATCTCACGTTGAAAGTCTCTTTTCAGCATGTTTCCAAGAGCTCGTGAATGTCCACTACCGCTACCCCGTGAATGGACGGTGCCAGCGGAGAGCTATTTATTTATAGGCTATTTGTTTTCTAGCATGAAAGCACCAGGACACACATTTCGCTCACTGTTATCCTCCCTGGTGACCCCCAACAAGGTTCTTGCTGTGTTACAGGCTCCGGGTAATGTTCGCTAAATGCATGAGCTGATAAATGGGCGGATGAATGAATATCCCTCAGCCAGCTTTCCATGCCCCCAAGTATCAGCAAGAACTCAAATGTGAAGCTGCTACTGGGGGAACCTGAATGAGGCTGGTTTCATACACCAAGGCCAAGAAGGAAGTGATGAGGGGCCAGCAGTCCGTTAGTAAGCCGGGAACCGAGGGGAACTAATGATAGGATGCAAATTGTTTCCTTCTCATCCTCTAGACCAGGGACTGCTTGGGAAACAACTTCTGTAAGGGCCAGACAGA